ATTCATTGTGCTGGGCTTCCTGGGGTTGTGATACTTGTTGTCTTTTCCTAGGATATGTCTAGAATTTTTTGGAGTGCTGGTTTGGTATTCATGAAGTTCCTAAGGTGCTCTTTGTCATGAAATTATCTTGTTTCTCCATCAATTTTGAAAGATAATTTGCAGGGTACATCAATCTGGGTTGGAGGCTGTTTTCCTTTAGGGCTTGAAATACATCATTCCAAGCTCTTCTTGCCTTGAGGGTTTGCATTGAGAAGTCTGCTGTGATTCTGATGGGCTTTCCTTTGTATGTGATTTGTTTCTTTTCTCTAACTGCTTGTAGAATTTTTGTTCTTCTGTTGGATTTCTGGAATCTTAACTATTATATGCCTATGTGTAGATTTTTTTTATCACGGCTACTTGGAGTCCTGTATGCCTCATTTTTCTGTATGTCAAGTTCTTTTCCCCTGCTTGGGAAGTTTTCTGTCATCACTTCTGTGAACAGTTGTTTTATGTCATCTGAACTCTCTCCTGTTTCTTCATTGACTCCAGTCAGTCTTATGTTATTCTTCTTTGCATCATCTAGCAGCTGCTGGATTGATTTCTTGTGGTCCCTTGCAATTTTAAAGAAATTTTTCTTTTCCTGGTCACTAATTGCAATCTTATCTTCTATATCTGAAATTCTGTCCTTACATTGGCTCATTGTGCTGCATAGACCTACAATGGAGTTTTTAATCTCCAGGAAATCTATCTGTATCTGTTTTATGGATTCCATTTGTTTCATATGTTGGGATTCCATCATGTTCCTCAAATCCTCTATTTTTTATCTGTGTCCTCTCTAAATTTATTAATCATGTTTTGCACTATGGGCACAATCTCTGCTGTTATCTGAGAAATTATTTCTGATTTCATTTTTTCCATTTACTTTTTTTTGCCAGTTCAGGAACTTCAGGTGGTTGAGTATCATAGTGTTCCCTCTAGTTTCCCTTTGTGGTTGTTTTTGGTGATCTGGAAGCCTGGTTTTCAACCTTGTTTATGTGTCTTCTTATTTCAATGGGGGGGGTGCTGCTGGTGTGCACGCCGCTCACCTCCTCTGTGTTGGGGGTGTGGTACAGTGGCCTGGAAGCCTCCTCCTGTGCCCTAGGAGTGGCTCACCTCCTCTGTGCTGGCAGAGGTGGTAAGGCGGCCCGGAAGCCTCCTGCTGGGAGCAGCTTACCTCCTGTGTCTATAGTTTTCTTTCTTTTGCCTTAATTCATTCAGGGATGGTGTAAAACACCATTCTATGCTTTGGAAATTCAAAGTTTCTGGCCAGTGAAGCCTAGAAATTGATACCTTTGTCTGCTCCCCTATATGCACCAAGAATCTCATTAAGGAACTAGCTTACAAATGGTGCTATAATGTTTCTTAATTAGCCTGTCACCTTGACCAAATCTGGCCTCATCCAACCTGATAATAATTATGCTATTGCAAATGAAAATTTCGATATTTTAAATTATTTCATCACACCTAGTTTTACAGATCTTTAAGTAAGGGGATCACAAATGTCACATGCTGTTTTATGGAATGTATTTTGTATTATGTTGTTTCTTAAATCATACCATTTTCCTAGAAATTATATAACTCCCAGATGATTGGAATCCTACAAGTGCCTTATTAGATGCGAGAGGTGACAGAAAAACTTGTATCTAAATATATAGACATAGATATAGAAATCAAAATGATTTCCTATCTTTTCTTCTGAATCCTGTCTTCAGATACTTGATTCAGGATGTAAAAGCAATGTGAGTTCTGCATGTAAGTAAGTTAGGCCTTCTACATAATGATATTATGGAGATTATCCATATAATAATATTATGTCACTCCATGACTCCAGGAGTTCTGCAAAATGATTTACACACTCATCCTCAAAATATTTTAAATCATCTAGTAAAAATAATATTACAATATTAGGGGAAAATATGGAGAGAACAAAGGTGGGACAGAGAACAAGGGATCTCAACTCAGTCACATGGACTGTCAGGCTTGACGTGGTCATGAAATAGTTAATGAATGTGCTCTTTAATTCCAAGCTACAGATTGTAAAGATACAAAAAAACAAAACAAACAAAACAGGCAGCCGATGAAGGTGCTGTCTCCACCTGAAGCTGGGCCATTTCAGAGCAGATAGAACACAAAATACAGAATGGTCATTGTATAGCACCTTTTCAATGCCAAGCCACCTGAAAATATCCATACATCTGCTTTGATTGCTACATGGACCCCAACCACAAATATTTGCTCTGACCCATATATATAATAGACATGCCAAACCTCTCTTCCAATGCCCTATAAAGGTTTCTTTTTTTTTTTTTTTTTTTTTTAATTTGGGGCTGATGGCCTCTTCCTTGCCATCAGTCCTCCTCTGCCCAGGAAAATAAAGTCTGTACCTCTTTGCTTTCACTAGCCTGCTGAGGTTGTCTCATCCCTCTGCACCGTTTGTTACATGAACAAGAACATAAACATGAGATGCATCCACAATGAAGGACTGGCCAGCAGTGAGTCATAATGTTCTAAATCAGGGGGAAGTGATAGGGACTTTCTTTTCTACTGAGAGTAGAATGTAACCTTCTGAGGAGAAAGCAGAGAAGAACTGGCTAGCTGGTCAAGTTCCACGGTTAGAAACTACGCTGGAGAAGTCACAGGGTTCTCTAATGCTGAAAGGGGCTCAATTTGCAGAAAATATTAGCAGCTGAGCAATATAACTTTTCAGGGACTATTAGCCACCAGTAACAGGCTGAATAAAATGAAACCCAAGAACAATTACCAATATTTTTCCTATTTACCTTCCTTCATTCCTCAGCTTTCTTTTCCTTTGGCTACACATGCTTTTTTTTAATCAACTGAGATCCATTTTGGAATACTGAGAAAAAAAGAATTAAGGGGGAGGTCTGCAACAAGTGGCAGCAGTTCAACAATGTGAACTGAAGAAAAACTGGTTTTGGGCTCTAGTTATACTACCTACTAGTCGTGTGAACTTGGGAACATTGCAAGTTTATCATCAGCCATATGAATTTAGTAAGCTATATCTTGTAGGGATATATGAACTACATGTAGACTATAGAGCAAGAGGAGTAGAAAATTTTCCTCAGACTGATAGGAGTTGATATTATTATATTGATCCCAGATAAAATTTCCCAGCACTGGGACCTTTATTTTTTGTAAGTTCAGGACATTTCATATAATACAGAGTCCATACTACCATTTAAAGAACATGGAAACAGTAAAAACTTATTCCTACTAATTAAAACTTAGTAACTAAGTAAATTTTCCCCATGAGAGCACATTTTTCAGTGTACAGTTGTCTTCTCAAGCTTCTTGCAACTCAAGCTCCCAGAATTGCTGTTAAGGCACAAGTTCTTTTATCCCTCCTGGTTGACCTTCCAAACAAACCATCTATATTAATATTTGTCATATATACTCTTCACAAAATCTACTGCTGTCTTAAAGTATGGCAAATTACATTCAAGGTAACCTAATGAAAATTCTCTTTTAATGAAGTGGGATCCCTCTTCAACAAAAATGTGCCAATGTATAGCAGGTGGAAGGCTCTACCTCGCATCCCCAGTCCTAGGAGATAAAATGTGCCAAGGTAGTGGCTTCTGCAAATCTCACCTGAAGGGATTGTCATCCTCATTTCTCAGAATTTCTGTGGGGAAAATGTGCATAGAAGACCTGGTTTACCCAATGTGTTTAGCATTACTGGTAACAGTCTAGGACACCTTCCTTCCCTGCTCTTGTAGAGATTTATCTCTACTTTACTCACCATCCTAAGGGTACTTTTCTCAGCAGTTTTCCCTAAGGTACTGATTCTGCCCTTCTACCACCCCGTCCAAATTCATATGCTAAAACCTCTCCCCTCCATTTAGTGTTTGAAGGTGGGGGGTTCAGGAAGTAATTAGAATTGGGGTTATGAGAATGGGTTTTCATATTGTGATTTGTGTCACTGTAACAAGAAAATCTCTCTCTCTCTCTCTCTCTCTCTCTCTCTCTCTCTCTCTCTCTCCCTGTCTCTCTTTCCCTTCCTCCTTTCCCCCCATTCCTGTCCCTCCCTTTCACTGCTTCCCTGTTCCTCTCTTCTCTCATTCACCCTCCTTTCTTCCTCTTTTCACTCCCCTGTCTCTTCCTCTCCTTACCTTTCTCTTTCTCCCTTTCTCCCTTCCCTTCCCTTTCTTCCAGTCTTTCTCTTCCTCTAACAATCCTACATCCTCAAGTGAGGTCATAAAGGGAAAGAACTTGTCCTATAAGTTTCCATAATTTACTGAATGTTTCTGCTTCTCTGCTACTCCCAAACAAATCATATATTGAAGCACTCATCCCCAGTGTGATAGTGTTTCAAGGTGAGACTTTGGGGACATAATTCAATTTAGATGATTTAATGAGAGAGGGATTTCATGTTGTGATTTGTAGCCTACTTAAAATCCAAGCGGGTAGTCCAATGACCTACTAGTCTCATTGCAGTTCTTGTCTCAAAAATTCTAAAAATATGAGATAAGTCTTCTTTATCTGGGCAACCAGGTACTACCACAAATCCTGCAAAATAGCATGTGCTTCATTAATGTTTGCTGAATAGGAGTCAAGGAACATAAAAGACAGTATAAATTTAACTTTTAATTCATAGAAAAAGCCAAAAACACATATGAACATTCAATTATATAAAATAGAGACTAAAACTAGTAAGGGAAATCAAGAATTAATCACTTCAATTTTTTCCTCCACTGTATTACCCTGCATACTGTGGATTTTCTTTAACATTTTCAAGAAAATTCCCTATAGTATAATCCTATTTTCTAAACAAGAAATATGAGAAGTAAATCTGTTTTTAAGTTCCCCAGTCTACAGTATTTTGTCATAGTAGACTGAATAGATTTACAGGAGTATACATCACAATCCTGAGTCATAGCATGGGATGGCATAGCATTAACTCACCACCACCTCCACTTCAAGTAGCTCACCTCACAGGTTCAATAATACCTATCTGCCAGAAATCTGCAATTTCGAATGTCTCACAATTCTTGCTTAGGATATTTCCATGTTACTGTTCCCACAGACACCCTCGTCACATTCATTCTTTGTATGTTGCCTAAAAGTCAAAAGGGAAGTTAAACAGATTTCTTGTAAGATTTCAAACCTAGGCTCTAAAATTCTAGTAGCACGGGCTACAGGTATCCTCATTATGTGGATACCTGTGCACTACCACAAAGACTGGCAAAGAGCATACAATCTATTAATATTTGCTAAATTACAGTCAGGAAATATGAAGGCTAACTGATAAAGATTTAACCACAACTTGCAGGAATGTGCCAAGAAACAGCTTAAAACATTTCATTTCATACAACCAAAGCAATGAGAAAAGCAACCAGTGAACATGTTCAAAATTTTTCTCCATTGCATCACCCCTCACTGGGGTGGGGTTCTTTAACACTGGCAAGAAACTTCCTTCTGGTACAATCCTATTTTCTTAACTAGGTGATCAAAAGCTTCAGGCCTCAGCAGGCCCTGGAGAAGCAGCAGGATCTGTGGCCTGGCCACTTGCACTAGGATTGGCACAAGAGCCAGGCTTGGCAGCCCACGCAGCTTGGGCTCTTTCTGTCTTATCTCTCATGGCTTTGATGGAGGCATCGCAAACAGAGTGTAAGTAGTTCAGGGAAGTCTTATTGAGCTTGGACAAAAACTTCAGGATTTTCTCCTTGCTGGTCTCGGCGTAGGCTTTGGGGCCCCACAGGAACTCATGGCGTGGAGGGTCACTGCCAGGCACCTGCTGATACACCAGGTACTTTAGCCTCACCAGGTCTTGGGTGAGGAGCTTCTTGGGCTCTCCAAACATGATGTGCTTCTTCCCGGGATATATCTTCATGGTCTTCAGGACTCTCCAGAGGATTTCCTCAGCAACACAGTGGCCATTCAGGAGGATCACAGCAAGGACTTTCATCAGGAGACCCGTTTTAGGGTAGCCCCTGCCAGGGCGAATCCTCCCATTGTTGGGGAGGGTCAGCTTGCTGATAAGGGTATAGGAGTGATGGGTGGAGTCCACTTCTCTCACTTCAACTGAAAAGATTGCCTCCATGTGCTCACAGGCACTCTTGAAAGTCTCGTCAAACTCATCTGTGTTCTTCCAGGTGGTGACCTTCCACATCTCTTCCTTGGTAAAGAGCTGCTTCAAATGGAATTTTTGGAGGATGAACCATTCCAACAGCTCAGTGGAGTACTTATGGTGGTCAGATGTGTAATTAGTGTTGAGACTTTCCTCAAAAATGCTGTTCTCATCCTCACAATAGGAACCTTGGTCAGAAGTGGCCCAAGAGTCATCAGCAGAAAGAGCTCCAATAGATGGTGATCTCCCCCCAGGTGTCGAGGGAGGGCTACAGGATGCAGCAGCAGGTGGGCCCTGGCACAAAAGAGAAGCCTTTTCTTCTTGTTCTTCTCCAGCTGCTGCTGCCGCTGCTTTTGCTGATGCTCTTGCTGATGCTCTTGTTGAAGCTCTTTCTGATGCTTGTGCTCTTGCTGGTGCTGCTGGTGCAGGTGCTACTGCTTTTGGTGCTGTTGCTGTTGCTTTTGGTGCTGCTGCTTTTGGTGCTGCTGCTCTTGGTGCTGCTGCTGCTTTTGGTGTTCCTGGTGCTGCTTCTTTTGGTGGTGGTGCTGCTGCTGTTGCTTTTGGTGCTGTTGGTTTTGGTGCTGATGCTGCTGCTTTTGGAGCTGCTGCTTTTGGTGCTGCTGCTTTTGGTGGTGGTGCTGCTGCTGCTGCTGCCACCACTTTAGGTGCTGCTGCCTTTGGTGCTTCTGCTGCTGCAGCTGCTTTTGGTGCTGCTGCTGCTGCTGCTTTTGGTGTTCCTGGTGCTGCTTCTTTTGGTGGTGGTGCTGCTGCTGTTGCTTTTGGTGCTGTTGCTGCTGCTGCTTTTGGTGCTGCTGATGCTGCAGCTGCTTTTGGTGCTGTTGCTGCTGCTGCTGCTTTTGGTGGTAGTGGTGCTGCTGCTGCCACCGCTTTTGGTGCTGCTGCCTTTGGTGCTGTTGCTGCTGCAGCTGCTTTTGGTGCTGCTGCTGTTGGTGCTGCTGCTGCTGCTGCTGCTGTTGGTGGTGCTGGTCCTTTTTGTGCATCCTCACAAGTCTGATTGTCACTTTTGCCTTGTGCACGTTTCTTGCGGGCTCGCAATTTGCTCTTCTGACCACGAGGCATGATGAATCTGGTTAGGCCCAAGAAGGAGGCGCGTGGGCAGGAAGGCTGGTGCTGCGGACACCTGGAGGAGGGAGAATGATATTTTGTGAGCATCTTCAGAATGAAGACACCTCCTTGGCTTTAACCAAGGCTGCTTCTGCAGGTCTCTGTGAGAGCTATGCTCTAGGAACTGACAGTGTTCCTGTTCTAATAAGTCTGTCCTTGTGGAGGCAGACAGAGTGAGTCTCCGGCTGCACCCTCCTGTCCCTGTCTATGGTGTTCTGGGGTGGTGGCCAAGACTGGGCATTGCAGTCCTGTGTTGTGAGGTGTGGGGTGCTCTTAGATTGCGATCACACTCATCACTAGTTGTAGGCAAGTCCCGCACCTCTCACTCTTGCTGCTCTGATGTTGACTCCTCAAGCCCAAAACAGATCATTCTGTATCCCACAACCCACAAGTGTAAGTGCAAGAGATTCTCAGCCAACCATCATGTCATCTGCTCTGCCACATTAAGAATTATGTAGAGCCCTTACTCTCATGGGCTTCTAAAGTACGTAGTTTTCACTCAATCTCCAGGTACTGCCTGCTACTCTCTCCTGAATGGTAGTGGACTCCTCACAGCCAATATACTTCCTGTGTCTTAGATTTGCTTTGAAACAGTGAGGAACAGCCTGACAGTCGTGCCCTGGGTTTGGAATGGTGAATGTATGGGTCAGGCTGCAATTCTTTGATTCCCATTCAATCCAGAGTTTTCCCTTCAGTCACTCATTTGACCTCGGAAGCCTTCCTTTACCTGGGAGCTCTGTGGTGCTGCTGACTTCCCCACAACTCTCTAGGCATCTGTATCAGCCACCTCAGCTTCCTATAGTCTCTCCATTCTCATAAGAATGAAGGATTGTGTGGCACCTTCTTGCTTTTCACCTCAGACCTCAGGGTGCTCACTTTAACTCCTAGGAATACCTAGAAATGCTCCTACCATGGAGCTTTGGCCATCCCCTTTACTCAGAATCCTTCACCACTATGAACACCAACCTCCACCCCATTCCGGGAGGGTAGCAGTGCAATTCACAGCCCGACTGCACATCCCAGGTTGCCATGAGGGCCTGGGCTTCTCAGTCCTCACGTAGGGAGGGTCCTTAGCGGTTCTCCAGAGGAACTATAAAGCTCCCCTATGGGGAGGTGAAGGGCTCCCTCCAGACTAAGACTCAAGCTCCTGTTACCCTCCTTTCAGAAAACTGTCTGATTGTCCCATGGGGGGCCCCCAGAATTGAGCACAGGGCCAAGCTGTGTGCCCTGTCTGTACCACGTCAATCTGTGGGATCCGTGAACTCCTTGAGAACTCACTCAGTGACCTGCTCTTGATTCCTCGAAAACTTCACAGTCCTCCCCATGCTGGCCTGAGCCCGTCGCCCTCGAGCCCAGGCTTTCTGCTCCCTGAGAGCATGGCCTGCTCGCCCGTGGCTGCCTCCATTTTGAGCAGCCTGCTCTGGGCACCGAAACCTGTCTTCCTAGCCACCTCCGCCAAAGTTTCTTCCACTCTCCTGTTAGGCTCTCCTTCTTTTCCCCTCTCCTGATCTACAATATCCACTGTTGTTTCCCCTCTCATTCTTTTGAATTTTTTTTTTTTTTGAGGCGGAGGGGTACCGGAGATTGAACTCAGGACCTTGAGCTTGCGAGGCAGGCGGCAGAACCACTGAAGTAAATCCCCAGCCCCCCCCCTCCCATTCCTAAGCCCTCAGAGGTGAAAATACAAGCATATCTCAGCCAACCTGCTCACTTTAGTGCCTCTCCAGCCTGAGAACACGGACGAGGCTTTGTGAGGTAGGGCTCGCACCCGGTTCGGAGGTGCGTGTTTTTCTCCCTCTCATTAGTTCCTTACCTGATTCGACGAGCGCCTGGGTCCTTTTTCTGACTTTCGCAGAGCTGGCAGCAGTTCGCAGAGCTGGCAGCAGTCCGCAGCGTCTCTCACTCGCCTGTCTGTAAGAAGAAGTGAGTGCTACTGCCTAGGGTACTTAAGGACCTGGAGAGGGGCTGCAAGGGCAACTTCTCTGGTACCTGCTCTGCGCTGGGGTGCGAGGCTCCCTCAGTCTCACAGCGGAATGGGCATCAGACTCCTCTCAGAGCTTTTGTCCCTCCCTCTGCCACTCCTCCTAGGGAGGACCTCACATTTCTGAGAAGCTCCTTCAGTATTAGAGTGACTTGTGGCCTTGTTCTGCTAAGCCCTATCAGCCAGTGAAGGGAAGACTCTGCCTTAATCACAATATCACTGTATTTTGTTTTCTGAATCGATGTTTTTCAGAGTACTCATCTTGGCACTTTTCACATTATTGCAAGAATTTCTTGAAAATGCTCCTTCCCTGAAAATTCTTGAGTATGGTCTCTACTTCAAATATTGGTAAAATAACTCTTTATCTCTGTTAGATTTTATGTGGGAAAGATTGAAAACAAGATCGTGTACTTAGAATATGAAGTATCAGAGAAAAAAATACTAATCTATTCTTCTCTTTATCACAAAGAGCCAGTCTTATGTTATTTCTGTTCCTAAAGACTCAATTACACTTATGTTTCACAAACTCCCAGAAAAAATGCGCATATCACAGCTCGATTTTGCACTGTGTTGTGCTGCATTGAGATTATGGCATAGACATCTCTCATTCTTGGGGACTGTGTTATGGACTGAATTCTGTCCCCTCTCACCAAAATTTCAAAAGTTGAAATTATAACCACCAATGTCTCAGTGTAACTGTATTTGAAGATCAGGAAGTTGCCCTAATTTCTTTCTGCTTTGCTTAATGCTATTTGTCCTCTTTTCATCCATTCTTTCAATTTTTTTAAGTCATAGAAGATATTTCTTCCTCCTGTGATTGTAACTTAGTTTTCTAAAATTGTAGGAGCTGAAGCTAGATCTATATTTGACTGTCCCTAGCACTGTTTAAGAACTTTCCTAAGATCAGATACTCAGTAGATGTTTGGAAAATATGATAGAAATTTTGCTTTATACTTTGGATTTAAAATGTTCCCCAAAGTCTATGTGCTGTGGGCTTGACAGCTGATAAGCTCTTGGAAGATGTATAGGTCTTGAGGGCTCTAACTATACTAATGGATTAATTCTTTGATGACTTTCTAATTTGATTATATTATTGAGTGCTGATGGAAACCTTGGAGATGGAGACTATTTGAAGGCAGGATGTCAAGGTGCTGTGAGTCCTTTCTCTCTGACTCTGGATATTTCCCTCTCTCTGCTTCCTGGCTTCTATGAGGTAGGCAGCCATTTATAACACATATGGCTGCCACCATGGTATCTTGCTCTGCATTACAAAAAGAATTGGAGCCATTTGATTCTAGAATGAAACCCTTGAACAACATAATAAAAAACTAATATTTGCTATTTTAAGTCTGTTTCTTTGTTGTTTTGTCAGAACCATTCAAATCAGACTAACAGATTGAGCATTAATTCCAACTTATTATGATTTAGCCTACACTACATTTTTATTATGCTAAGCATATTGAAGCATACACAGCTTAATTTTACACAAGAAAATACTAAAGGAAATGAGGAAAATAAATATTTATCATGCTATAAATTTTTTACTATTCATTACTCCAATAATTTATTGTAGAATTTTTATATTTATAAGAAAATCCCAGTTGTGAAGTTATATTTTCATTACACAAGAAAGAAAAAGAAGAAAAAAGCCTTTATTTCAGGATGGATAGAAAGAAGCTATTGGACATCACCATGGAACATGCCTGCCCATGCCACTAGTGTTAGAAGTGGAAGCCATTCTGACATGGGCTCTCATTTTCTTTAAGCTTCTTCATATCATGTAAATAAAGCACAAAAAACAGGATCACTGACCTTGACTAAAAATTCTAGGATTTTCATCTTGCTACTTTCAATGTAGGCTCTTGAACCCCAAAATAATTCATGACATGCAGAATCACTGTTGGGCACCTGCTGGTACAAGAGGTAGTTTAGCATCACCAAATCATTGGTGATGATATCCCTGGATGCTCCCTAGACGAAGTGCTTCCTCCCAGGCTACACTGGCAACATTTTCAACAAAAAGAATAATAAAGGATGGATACAAGGGGACAGGAGGAATGGATCTTTTGCAATAGGGAAGGGCTCCAAGGGAACAGGGTGAGAAGTGAAGAGAAAGGAAAGGGGAAATAAGTAGAATAGAGATATGAATAGGAATCAACCTCAATGAATGTAAATATATGACATAACATGAGCTAAGATTAATGACACCAACAATAATGATAATTGAGGTTGGGGAATTAGCGGAGGCAGGGAAGGGGATTAAAAAAGAAGCCGTAGTATG